TACAAGTTCTATCAACCAAACCTCTCCCGAACCAACATCATCAGTTTCTTTTTGCCTTTGTAGATTTGTTTCAGGTTGTCAATAAACTGTGTAAACTGAATGTGTCCGTCATGCGCCATCAGGAAGGTCTCTCGGGCCTTGCTGAGGAACTCAATGAACTCACTATAGTGCCGAGGACTGATGTGGGTGAGTCGTGAGTGCGTGGTGTTGATGTAGGCCCCGATCGTGGCGTCCAGGAGCTGCCTCAGGGGGGCTTTGTCCAGTGACATGAGCTTACCGGAGTTCCTCCTCCCATGAAGTCCCACCATGCCGGGAGTGGTCAGAGTGCATCTGCGCAAAATGTCTGACAGTACCGTTGCGCACTTGACACTCTTGACCACCAGAGGTATTATAGCTGCAAGCTCGTTTTTGCCGAGGGAGTGGCTGAGCGCACAGGCCCACAAAACGTCATTAATGGCAGGGTGTGTGTCCTGATTGTAGCTCAGGTTGAGATGGGTCATGGCCAGGGTGGCCAGCTTGTAGGCCCTCATAGGGTACCCACGGTGCTCCATGTACCGTGCTATCGTAAAGAGCTGGGTGTAGCTCATGCCGGTGGTAGCAGCGTCGAGGACAATTTGGTACGCCGTCTCAAAGGCTATGTGATCCTTTTCACACAGGGTCAGCGCAGACAGGGCACAGTTCTGAGGGTCCTTCATGGCGCACTGCAACGCGAGTGTCCGGGCACTGCTGGCCAGCTTTTCCTGCTGATGGCAGTCCAGGTGCAGGCGGACGATGGTGCTGTTGGACATCACGGTGGTTGCAACTATACTCGTGGCCTCAGTGGGAGTAAAAAGCGTAAACCAGCTCTGCATGATGCTGTCCAGGGCATAAACACCTGCAAGGAACACAGAGAAGCCCTATTACTTACTGACAAGGATGCTGCCTAGAGGTCTGGCCTTATTTCCACTTTATAATCAATGCTTACATTGTTAACCATCATAGGACATGAGCTAGGCCAGAAAATCCTGTAAGATAACGTGCCTGGGAGCAACCTTTTAGAATAAGGTTATTATGGATTGTTATTCAGTGAAATGCCTGAAAGGAACATGAACTTCCTGTAACACAGAACCGATCCTCTCGGTAGCCGGTATTTGCACTGTGCCGCTTGCCATTTCAGACAATGGCTTTTTGCGAATGAGTTCCAGTTCACTGGGGCCTCCTGTCAGTTACCCACTACAGAATTTGAGTCAGAAAAACTACAACCCTCACCAAAATAGGTAGTTTTTATGTGTGTGTGTGTGTATAAGTTTAAAATACATACGATATAAAATGATTAGGACACATACAGAAACAGGAAAATGTGACCCATAATCAAGAGAAGAAAGTCAACAGAAGCAGACCTACAGATGACTCAGATGCTGGAAACGGCTGACGAGGACTTTAAAATAACCATTTTAAGTACACAGACCCAATGTGCCTCAGCTGTAGGAAAGTCCTAAATTTGAGTGATTTAAAGAGAAGGTACTAAATTGCAGAGAGAAATTAGGCATTACACTTGGTACAGGAGAAGGGGAGCTGTGTGGCAGTTCTTAAGCTGGTATTATCTTTATATTGTTTCACTAAAGCATTACATCAATAAGCTAAAAATAATTTTTATATTGAAGCCAATTTCCCTTTTTCTAAAATAACAAACCATCACAGATTAATGAAAGAATAATAAGAATGATTTTACAGTATCTGCTGTGTCAGTTATCTAAATACTGAGGTGGCAGTGTCTTCTCAGCAAAGGTAAGTGTCCTTTTCTGATGGAAACAGGAAGAAAGAAAGACAATTGAACCAACATTTATTTTCAACAGCCTCCATTCTCTTGGTGTCTGTGCTCCTGCTGGGAATGTAGTTTTCTTAGCACTGATTTACTGCTGCAGAGGGCAACGAGGTGGCTAAAGGGTCTCACAAATTGCAGCTTAAGGGCGATCAGGGGATCTTAGGGCCAGCTATAATTTCTCACGCATCTGAAAGCTCACCTGAACCACACCCACTGGTCATTTCCCTGCTGGATACTGTGACATATGCCCTGAGATGATGAAGGAAACAGAACAACTAGGTAACTTTATGCCATTTTCATTGAAATGCACTGAGCCACTAATCCAGTCTCAAGTTAGTTTCAAAGGTGGGCTCCAATCTACCAAGGTTTCACTCTAGAACCCTTTAATATAAAATGATAAACTTGACTATCACAAAAAGTTATCAAAAGCACCTTAATAGAGACAGAACAACTGGATAAAAAGTGTTTTTGCTCACTGACCTACTCCATTTTAATAAGAGTCTGGAGCCCCACATACTGGACAGTTTGGAAGAGGAGCAATGGAACCGAAGGCTGGAGGGAAGGGAGCCCTGTGGGTTGCTGGAGGGGCAAGACCCTTGGAGAAGTCAAGGTGGGAGAGTGAACATGTTCTTGTATCTGTAACCAAGGAGTTAAATCTAACACGAGGTGCTGGGAAAGCTCCTCCTCCAGAGTTTACCTACCCACTTCAGTAGCACATGTTACCAGCCATCTGACCATCTCCCGCCGTCGCCAATTTAAGGTTGACAGTGTCATTCGCATAACCTATAAAGAAAGATAGGAAAACAAAACACTTTGGAAGATTATCCCAAGTTGGTGGAAATATAAAACAGTTCATTCCAAGGCATAACTACAAGGCACACTCCCTACTGGCAGGAGGATGAGAGCCACATTTAGAGCAAGCTCTGCGTATGAATTTGGATTTGTCCATGGCTCCCCAGCCTTGACCTAGCCAGAGTGGGAGGTCCACACACTACTCCTAGGGGGGCAACAGACCAGGTGTGGCATCCTGGGCAAGTCACTCAATCACTTTTCTCATCTGCAAAATCAGAGGCATGGGCTGAAGCATTAAAAGCCCATGCCCTCTTCTCCTTCTCAGCTTTAACATCCCACAGTTTTAGATTTCTGAGGCTCCTCTGGACTAATCCTGATTAGAAACTCTCAGATGGCAAAGAGGTATTTTAAAATAATTGTTTTATGCCTTCTTTCAGTCCCTGGGTGCTCTTGTCTGGAAATTATGAAGATTACCCCAGGTCTATGGAAAGAAATCATCTGATTTTGTTTTTCACTTTCTAATAAGAGATGCCCAAGATAAAATATCCCCCTGTTCCTGCTTTCACCATTCTTTAAGATTCAGAAAATCTAGGGATGCAACTCCTAAGGCCTTAGAAAGGCCTTGTGGGAATTCTTGCTGGGTCACAGAAGGAATGAGTCAGGGAGTAAGCTCTCAGTAATCTCCCATTTATCCAAAAAATCTGCCAGAATTCCAAATAACTAGAAAACTTGTATTCATGTTTTTCCCCCCTGCATCATACCTTTAAGAGGCAAAAGAAATAAAAATAAGCCAAATAACCAGAATTTTTAAAAAGAAACTTCTAAAATGTCATTTTATTGCTTAAATGCAATCAGTCTCCTATACCCTCAGCTTGTACAGTACTATATACAGTAAGTCCATTTTCTTGTAATCCAATTCTTTAAACTTTACTAATAACTGTAAGTAGAATCCATAACAAGAAAACCAGATTAATCACCTAATCAGGGCATTCTATTCCCCATACTTTAGGTAACTAGAGGATAAGAATTTCTTTCACTGTTTTTCATGGGTAGGGTTGGGGGAATGAGGGGAGCAAATATAGAGATTCCCCGAGAAAAGTAGAAATATAAACTTTTCAGTTCCTGGTTATACACTAATCTTTTCAGACACTATAAGGAAGCAAACATCTATCTGCATAAGTCACTGAAAATGTCCTCGGTAATGTGTCTAAGCGGGCCAACTGAACGCTGAAACTGGACCCTGGCCCATCACTCCTCCTTTACCCAATTCCTCAGGGTTATAAAAAGAGCTAGAACTGCCCATCTACTGTGAAAATGCAAACATCAATAAAAACTCGTACTTCCTCTAACAATTTACCCCTAACAGCTTTATTTAAGTTTCTTATGAGCAGTACTTCTCCATTCATTGAAGGAGAAAAGGTGACGTTAGGTTACAACTAAGAAAATGATTTTTTTATTTGAAAGACACAAGTCAGGCTTCTAAATGTAAATGCAGACCCTGCACCTCAGGCAGCAGCTGGTTCAGCTGGGAATGACTTCAGCTCTGAAGCACAGTACTCTCCTGGATGTCTAACAGATTTGTGCACCAAATTCATTCACCTGCACTAAAAAAACCCACATAAACAGGAACAACCTTAAGACACTGCCTTTATTTAGCAGTCTTTGGTACCCGAGGAAAGACCACCAGTCACATACCTGCAGGCCCAGCTCCAGAGACACTTTCAAAAGAGTGATGTCTGGCAAAGTGTCCATGAGAGTTGCTATTTTAAATGCATCTTGGGCAAGCTTGAAGATGTGGGATGAGGAGTGAATGTTTTTCTGGATGGATTCTAATACTGTTTCCAGCCTCCGAACATCGCCTGCAATGAACAAGGAAAAACCAAACCAGATCAAAGCAAAGCAAAGCAAAACAAAACCAAAAAAAATCATACCAAACGCACACACACAGGGAGATAAAAAGGAAAGAAAATAAACATTAAGCACAAGTTAATTTACCTGAAATGTTCACAGATGGCACAGATGTTACAACTAAGTTTCCCAGAGTTACTGCAATGTCTATGAATCTCGGTGTCACAAAAAAGACACACCCTCAATGATTAAACTCACATGTGACCCAGGACTAACTCGAAATAGCAAATAACTCTCCTAGTTTCTACTTATGTACGTTCCGTGAATATCTCAGGGAAGAAAAAAATGCAACGGAACTTTTTAATCTCCTTCTGAATCTCAACCACCACTCACACGGCATGGCAACTGAACCTGAACTCTGCCAGCAGCCAGTTTAATGATGCAGTTAAATGAGGAAAATGCCAGGCTCAAATGAGCAACACCTGTTTTCCCTCATAAGCTAACATCTAATGAAAAGTATCCCCTACAACCCAACATTAGCACCACTACTGAGAATTTGATAGCAAACATGACCCTTAAAAAAAGGCAAGCTAACAAAATAATCATGAGGCCTCGGGACAATCCAGTACCTTTGGCTGCAGTGAGCATGGTGGATGCCAGCTCACACTGCTGGGACTCTACGTGGCTTAGAGTGAACCAACGAGGGTATCGGTTGGGAACAACTGACGCAATGTGGTGTGGGCGGGGGAGGTCTCCTGCTGGAGCAGCAGATTCCAATACTAGTAACCTGTAACGAGAAGAGACAGGGCAGGTGGCTCCTAGTTATCACTTGTCTATCACCTTGGCCGCAGGGACTGGCCCGTAGCGAGGAGTGGGCAGATGCTGGGAGAAATGTGCAGGTCTTTGTGCAGGAAGAGCTGGTACAGCTACACTCTGCGGTCTGGATGCCAAAGTCACCTTATTAATTGCTCATTACCCAAACCTAAGAGATTTCCTTCCTTTAACATCATTCATAAAATTGCACAATTCAAGGAAATTAAGATATGTAATAATGAAGAAGTTTGGAACTCAGTCTTGATGTTTACCACTCACTAAAAAAATAAAAATCAACAGAAAAGTGACAGTGAAGTGAATATTAAGACTGAGATTACAAAAGTCAGGGATCAAGTGGATAGCTGAGATGCACAAGCTTAACTTACTAAAACACAAAATAAGAGGGAAGTAAAACAAAAATGACTCCGTTTCCATTACTCATACTTTCTAAAAAATTAGTTCCTCATTCCTTCAGGCATTCATAGCTAGAATATGTTCTATCATACATATCAGAAGATGATGTATGCAAATGATTCAAGTATTTGTCCCTTGACAGTCATATAAATTCTGTGTGATTTCTCATTTCCATCAATCTTTGATTAAGACTATGTTGACAAATAAAGAATAATTATAAAAACAAAGCACATGTTTAGTGATCTTCTCCAAATATAAATACCAAAGAAATTAGTAAAGTAGCTACAACTGCAACGATTCCTTTACAATCATCAAAGCAGTGACCTTCACTCAAGGACACCAGTGTTAGAAACTATGGAATAAGAGCTGAGGATCAGGAGTTAGCACGGTCAGGGTGAGAGGCTGGCCCTGGGGCCCCACCCAAGAGCAGTTACTGCTCTGGTAAGCCAAATGCCTCACTCTCTTTTCCTTTCTTTTAGGGACAGAGATGTTAGCATCAGAGGGTGGCAAGGTAGGCAATTAAGTAATAAGCATTTTGGTGGGGTTGTTTAGTTTTTTTAAAAAATCCAGAATGGCCCTGTAATTAATAGGCAGATCTTTCCGGAGTTGTTGTAGAAGAAACTAGTCAACACCCCTGGAAAGAAGAGAAAATGAGTGCTAAAAGCACCCCTCTCCAGCCCGCCACCCCTACTTCCAGAAGGACTAAGATGCAAGAAGCCACATGTCTTTTTTCCTTCCTCTTCCCCTGGCTGCCATGAGATGCTCTGCGAGGTCACACTACCTCCCTTCCCTGGCGGTCCTTTGGCTGGGGGATGGCGGCAGATGGAAGAGGTGGAAAAACAATTCCCTTGTGCCCTGCTAGTGCCCCATGAACAAACTGCCTGGGCAGCAACCAAGGGCAATCCTAAATGAGGCTCTGAATGTTAGCTTAAGCATAGGCCAGACCCATTGAGAATCCTTATGCTACTTTCCTCTTAAATTCACAGTGGTCACAGCAAAAGCATCTGGCGCATCATAACATTAGCATCCTCCCTTTTCCCCAGGAGAACTCCCAGATTTGAACAGGTATAGAACTGAGTACCTGTCTTCATCTGACAACTTCCACTCCAGCTTCCAAAAGTGGGAACAGGAACTTACTAATAACTGTGCTTTAAAATACAAACCAAGTGGTATGAAATAATCTGGTGGGGAACTTTGGCTTATGTTAGTTTTTAATGTATATTTTGGTATTTTAAAAATAGACAAGGGAGAATTTTTAAGGCTTCTTTGATAGGTAAATGAGATTTCACATTGCCAAGGAAAGCATGTCAGCCTCAGAACACACTGACACACAGGTATGTACACACACACACACACACACACACACCCTATCACTGCACCAAAAAAAGGCCTTCAGAGACGAGCTACACACATAAAAAGACAAGGACTTGTTTCTGAGTCCACTGTACTGGTTGCAGACATAGAATCTTTGATGAAAAGACTCTATGGGATCAAACTATTCTCCAGCACACCTCAAGCTTTTAGGTTATGTTCATGGTTTGTCTTTAGGTGACTATAATGAGGTCAAACCTGCACTTTAACACAGAAGTGTTTTAATTTTTTTTAAAAAAAGGAAAAAGCTCACGCTTTAAGGAAGGTGGATATTCCTTTCAGGCCCTTAAAGTTTAATAGGCTACAAATAAGACTGACAAATACAATCTTGAATTCACTAAAAAATATTCACCAGAACTGATTCAAGATAAAAATAATTATTTGGTGAACTGACTTTTAAAAGGAAAGTGAAAATAGAAAGGTCAGTGGCAGAGAACAACACAGTCTAATTGTCCTCACTGAAAGGAGGGACTGAAGAGGAAACGGAAGCAGCCAGCGCTGAGGCGAGCAGATCGGCAGACCCTAACAGTGATGCTACAGTCCCATCTTTGTCACCCTCCACTGGAGCACAAAGGTGTGTGGTGATACAATGGCCTTCCTGCACTACTGATGAAATGTGAAATTACTGCAGGTGGGAAGGGCTCCCTCAATTATTATATGCAGTCAACTATACTTATTAGTTACCACTGTTTCAAAACTCGAATTTTTTCAAAACAGTTCATGATTTAGGAAGGTTTCCACTGTTGTTCCCATGTGGTTAAAGTTGGTCTGGAATTGTTCTCTATTCCCAAATTCTAGCTTTAGGAAAAAGCCACCGTGAGCATGACTAAGACAGCATTCAAGGACACCATCCTTCCTTTCCTTTTAAACAGAAGCCAAACAAGCCCACGAACAAACCACTACACAATCTGAGAAGCACATAAATAAATATGTTCTTTAGATTTTCTGCTGCCTACAAGAAACATGAATGAATGAGAAGTCAGTGACCAGCCATTCCTCCCGGGGGGGATTTGGGCTGTGCCTGCCCGGCTGGGCTGTGAATACGTACCGCATTGCTCTCAGTGCAATTTTGTATGCCAATTCAGCATCGTGAGGTAGGAGAGAGGTGAAGAGATACTTGGCAAATGTGTGCATTGGAACGCTCTCCCGATGGATTATTTCGCCTAAACCACTATATGGTCCGGCTGTGGGAAGAGAGCATACACATTTTACATTCCTAAAAAAGGAACTAAGACTTCTTGTAAAGTTTATCTTAAAATTGTTATGTAAAGTTATAACATATACAAGCTAATCTAGTTAAGAATGCCATCTAAGTGACACAGTAGAAGGAATACAGATTCTTAGTCAAAAATGATTCTACAGGCTACAGTATCCAGCATCAAACTTACTTCAGGAACAATCCCCCAACTGCACCACGGCTGAAATGAGAATCACACAACTATGGGCAGAGCTCTTCCCCGTTAAAACTGCTTCAGAGAAAGAAACCTTTCGATGCATAAAACCTCACAGGATTCAAGAAACATCCTCTGTCAATGTGTATGTCCGAGCATCCAGATTTTCAAATGCAGAGATGGCTCTGCAGCTTAACTTTGGGATCTGCTCCTGGACCCTCATCTCAGGGGCACAGACAAGCCAGATTTCCAGAACAGGTGCTCTAATGGGGTGGGGAGGATTCTGAACCACAAATCCCAACACAAAGACTTTAAGCATTGCTGCTTCTAATAAGCAGGAATAAATACGGATTGTCAGAAAGTGATTAATAATAAAAGGATAGCTACCCATTTGATACTCACCGTAGGCAAAAGAAAATAATTAAGGTAACTGAAAATTTACCATTTTGGGGGGCTCCGAAGGACCAATTTTAAAAGCAAAATTACATTTAAGCAGTCAAATTCATTTCTTAGTAAGTTATGACAGGGATGGTGGCAGAGCTGACTCTCCCTGTGCTCTCTGAACGCTGCCCTAGGAAGGGCGCTAGGCTTTTAAAATAACTTTTGAAAGGAAACCACAGTGGTTAATTCAACTACTTTCCGCTTACGTACCTTGAGGTTTAGTTACTGTAAAGTGTCTAATAAATTAGTTTCCATGTCACGTTTGGGTAAAAACTGTTTCATGATTTCTACAATTATGAACCATGATGCTACTGCTCAAAGGACATAATGCATTTGTTTTCCCTGAGAAAAATCTGTCTGTTGGAGAGTTTAGAATGCAAGAAAGGCAGTTCAGAAGAAACGGCGAGAGTTACTGAACCGAGCATGGGGCAGAGGCATCATGTATTACATATCATCTTAAGAGAGGTTATTTTAAATTTCATTAATATCTTTGAATTCTCCATCATTTAAGTATTTGGAAAATCATATAGTAAACAACTTTTTTTTACCTAGGCAAACTAAAATCCATTCTAGATTTCTAATTTTACCAAACCTATTAATCTTTTTCTTGTGTTCAAAATATTTAAAAATGTTTTAGTGATCTGATATTTTTCAAAAGTTGATATTCCATTATAGTTCCACCTTTAGTTCATATGAGAGGCCAAATTATCTGAATGTTTATATCTTCTACCTCAATTTACTATGTTGAAACCCCAACTCCCAATGTATTTGGAGAAAGGGCTTCATGAAGATAACGAAGGTTGAATAAGGTTAGAGGTGGGGGCCCTGATGCAATACGATTAGTGTCCTTATAGGAAGAGACGTCAGGGAGCTAGGGCTCTCATGCAGGCACTCGCTTTCTCTAAGGCAGCTATCTACAAGCCAGGAAGAGGGACAGCACTAGAAACTGAACTGGCCAGCACCTGACCTTGGACTTTTCAGCCTCCAGAACTGTGAACAATAAATTTCTACTGTTTAAGCCACCTAGTCTGTGGTATTTTGTTATGGCTGCCTCAACAGACTAAGACACTAACTCTATTTGATGTAAGGACTAAATAGAGTAAATTTGTAGATGATCTTCTTCATTTCTCTTCCATTTCATTCCGATGTTTCTCTTAAACTGTCAAGCTACCTGTTTTCATTATGCAGGAAAAGCCAGGAGCCATCATCAACACTTTTTTATGACACCTCCCAACAAGCAAAACATTCAGGTATCACGGAATTACTTGTAGTTTAATCATCAGTGTAATACCTGAACTCTAGTGTACTGAATAATGAAAGACTGAAATTTGGTACCAAGTTCCCCAGAAGTGCTTTTCCAATATGCCAATTGATCCAATTTGCCAAGATTGTGGCTGTAAGTGATCAACACGCAGCAACAATATAGGGTTATTGCTTCCTCTTTTTCAGATACCTGAGTCTGCTAACATTTTTGCCCCTGAAATTCCAAGAGTATAAATGCATGAACTTGGTGCCCCAGTGCAGTCAACTCAACCATGAAGTGCTTATCTTTTGGAGTTGACAAGAAATGGTCCCTTGGCTTCCCCCATTGGACTGTATGCTGCACCACCCACTCTTTGTGGTCAGAAAAGAAGAGAGAGCTAGGATGAGTCAACAACACTCTTTATCAGGCACAGTTCTTATAAAAATGTTTAACGGGGGGGTATGAACTAATCAAAGACTAAGACAACTAAAAATTATTCATGAGTAATGAACATGGAGAACATTTAAAAAGGTCAATGATAAACAGGTATCAGACACCATGAACACTGAAAAGCACACACCCTCTTCCTATCCTTCAATATACTGGAAACCAAAAGTCAGTTACTAAGAGCCAGTGACAGCACAAAAAAAGCTTTGTGGCTAGTGATTTTGCTTATCTGCAAAGAAATTATAAGAGGAAAGTGAAAGAAAACAGTAATGAAGGAATCAAGATCACCTGAAATTCGCCAAGATAGGCTTTTATGTTTAGAAGAAAAAAAAACTTTAGGAGAGTGCTTTTACTAAAATTAAGCATGCTATTAAAAACATTTTCCCTTTAAAATGCATTTCTAAAACACATAAATATATAATGTATTTGGTGAAAATATTTTCTTTCAAATAGATCTTTAGCTTTGGACAAGTAAAAGAGGTTTTGAAATGCTATTTTCTCTAACTCCCTTCCCCACATGCGACAGTTCTAAAGATGAAGATACCACACCTTATGAGCCTATCAATCACAGAGAATCCCACAAGAACAAACATGTACTTGAGAGATCCAAGTAATTTTATCAATTAGACATCACCTAAATTTACACAAAAGATGAGGCTACCATGCTAATTACATTTAGTCTTTTCAAGAGAAAAAAATGTTTTAAAATAATGCCAGCCAGAATTTGTTAGGCTCTTTAGCTCTTAACCTTATGAAAAGAAGAAAATTAGGCCTTGCCTTAGAGAGTCTATGAAACTTTAACTTGCTGAATCTAATCCTAATGAATTCTCTGAATTACTCAGCACAGTGGAAATTCACTCCTGCAGCTTTCAGTCCTTTGTTAGGATGTGCAAATGACATAGTCAAAACTCAAGACGTCACGTAACAGCCAATAATTCAGGGAATGACAATCAACTTCCATTTTATTATTTAATTGATCAAGCAAAGAGGAAGATGGCTATCAGCAATAGCTCACTAAATATCAAGCTCGCATTTATCTCAGGAACAACATGCCAAAATAAAAACAGTCCTTTTCAGAACTTGCGGCATTAAATGGGACTCATTTCTAACAGGCTATCCTATGTGAACACCTAAATCAAGTAATATAAATCTAAACATTTGTATTTTTTTATTAAGTGATACTGTATTTGGTTAAGAAACAAGCCTATGACACTCACTGACCATACCAACCAGGATAACTGCCATATTAAATACATTTAAACAGTACTCCCAACATAAATAAAATTGGCTAAACAAGTGGAAAACCTCTTTATTAAACTACCTTCTAACAGGAAGACTGCTTGCTTGCGAAAAATTTTCACCAGTGTGTCATCCAATTCAATTTCCTGAAGCTTGGAAATGAGCTGCTCCTCATTCCGGCAAACCTTCTCTTGTGTGTACAGCCCGTCGGGCATGATCCGCTGCTGTCCCAGCCCTATTAGGGCTACTTCCACAGCTAGTGTTAAGTAGGATTCCCCTTCTTCTAAGAATTTGTGAGCAGGTAGATGCTGGTATTCCAGAGATTTGCACTGTCCCATATGCTCTGTAAAATGTTACAAAAGCAATCGGAGTTCAGAAACTACTACTACTAGTACTCATAAATAAGTTACTGACTTAATTTCAAGAATAACAAAAACCAAGTGCCTAGTTTTCCAGTATCGTTTTTAAAATGCCCATGAATGAGTGAATGTGTATGTTCTGGGGGACAGAATATCACAAATATTTTTCTCCCATTGAAAATGAGTCACGAAAGAAAACTATGAATCTAAGAAGAGATACCAAGAATACTTGAGTGGAGAAAATTTTTAATTAAACAAGTGTAAAATTATATGATGACTGCAATAGTTACCAATTCTTCAGAGCCTGGCATTAAAAAACGTTTGCATACTTTTATCACAATGAAAAATTTATAATGAAAACAGTAGAGAACACAACACATGTAACCCAATTTCAAAGTCCCGTTTTGTTATCAAAGAGGTCATCAGTTATCACAAGATAAATGATTCTTTGAGCATTCTCTTATCTCTGTTGTTTCCATTAGAAACTTGAACAAACTTCAACTACTGAACTCTATAGTCATACCTTTCACCCTCCCGATAGTTTTGGATCACCCATAATCCACGAAGGTAACCACCGCAGGAGAAAATGCGGAGGGCAAGATAATTAACCCTGAGCTCACCCAGCCATGGGAGCAGCAAAGGGACAATCCTCCCTCCCTCCCTCCCACATGAAACAAATCCTTATTTTATGTCTTTATGCTGGAAAACAGTCCTAAGTGCAAATAAATTCTTAGATGCACAATCACTGACTAGAAGAGAATAAATATTCTTAAGGTTCTTTACACACGCTGTCGCTGTCGAGTCTGTCTGCCTGAAAGCTGAGTGCCCATTTCCTTGCTCTCTTGCTAGCTATAGGTACTGTTAACTGTATGGATTCATAAAACAAACTGTGAAGAAAAATGATCGCCATTCAGAGTTTAGAAAAAAAGGCACACGAGACAAACGTCAAAGGTGTTACCTGTGAAACTGGAGAACCCAGGGAAGCTTTCATCATCCATGCGGCAGGCTTCCATTAGGCTGCTGAAGAGAGTGCCCACAGGGTCCAGAGGGTGTCCAACCCAGCCCTCCAGATTGGTTATCGAGGTTATGCTTTTATGGGGTAGCTCTGTGGAAGAAGAGGGAATTGAGAGATGGAAAGAAGTAAATGGAAGAGAGGCTTTACCATTTAATAGCAGCATCCTGACAAATTAATACTGAATTGAATTAAAAAACAAAGGTACATATAAACCCCAACTTGTGAACTATTTTGAAATCTGAAGATTCATCTGTAAATCAATATAAATGGTAGTAACCTCCTGGGACAGCTCCCAAACATCTATTTAATTCATGTGTCCAAGGTACTGGGTTAACATTACAATTTACACTTTAAATTATGATGTATAAGGAAAAGTCAGTTCCAAATTTTCCCCTAAGCAGCTAGGGACAATTCCGCTCACTTCCTAGGAGTGACGTTAGAGAGGACTAAAAAGTCCCCCCCGAATTCCCACTGGACAACTCCACAACTCTGTTAAGAAGATACTCTCAGAGTCTGTGCTCACTGGATCATCTAAATTGGAGACTAGAGGGTGGCTGCAGCCTGGGTCAGACTTAGACTCCCTCATGAATATTATTAACTCACTTCCCTATCACTGTATGAAAGTGTCCTTATCATGGATCAGTGAGCCACAAAAAACAACTACAGCAGAAGATAACATATCATTTGGATGAAACATATCCTTTTTCTTTTTCCACAAAATGCTAGCACTTTCCTGAAGTTAAATTACAGAGTGCTGGAAAAAAGCTGCAACTATTTTAAAAGACATATTCCATTGTTGTAAAAAATGCAACATTTTACACCTTAGTGTTTACTAAAGAAGTAAGTAATGGCAGCTCCTTCTTAAAGGAAAACACAATAAAATCTATGTACAGTATAAAGTAGACAAGAAAAAACTAACTTGTAAATTGCTAAAGAGCCACTCCATGACTTGAATATTCCTTTAGAAGTTTTCTGGTTTGGGGCTATCAAATATATATGGTGAAGGGAATTGTTGTGCTTATAAAATAACTCTATTGTCAAGTGATAGAAACTGAGGATAAAACTTTACAACGTATTTCCTCTATGTCCTTTCTTTTCACACAAAAATTAGTGAAAAAACAGAGAAGTGGGAGAAGTAAAATTTAAAAAGAAGTTTTTTAAAATTGAGATGATGAACTAAGTGAAATAAGTCAGACAGAGAAAGACAAATATGATCTCACTTATATGTGAAGTATTTAAAAAAACCCCCTGAGTTCCCACATACAGAGAACAGATTGACAGTTGCTAAAGGTGGGGGGATGGGTGAAATAGGTAAAGGTGGTCAAAAGGCACAAAACCTCAGGTATCAATAAGTAAGTCATGGGGATGTGATGTACAGCATAGTGACTACAGTTAATAATACTGAATTGCATATTTGAAAGTTGCTAAGAGAATAGATCTTAAAACTTCCTCATCACAAGAAAAAAGCATTTTTGTAACTATACGTTGTGAAGGATGTTAATTAGACTTATTGTGGTGATTATTTTGAAATATATAGATATTCAATCATTATGTTGTCTACTTGAACTAATATAATGTTGTATGTAACATATCTCAATTAAAAAATAGAGGTTGACATATCATGCCATGTGGTATTAAAAATGTACAAGATAATTTGTTTACCAATCTTGTCCGTGTAACAAGTATCTGTTATTGCAATGTGGAAGTGTTAACAGCTATGAAAAACATGTTCTTTAAATATGGAAAGACAAAAAAACACAGAAAGATATAGGTATAAATATATAATCCCAGTCATATTTAAGAATAGTCTGAAATAAAGGTTTTCATTGCTCCCAGGATAAAAGAGAAATCCAAGGAGCTCTCTGTTGTGATCACTTTAAATAAATATCATGTCCTTATGTACAAATTATTACAAGTAAAAAGCTTTGGAGTGATTACATACTATGCCAGGCCCCGCTTTAAGTGCTTTACAGGATTAATAATCTTCTCAAGAACTCTAAGAAATAGGTCCTCAACTGAGCCCCATTCCACAGATGAGGAATCTAAATCACAGAGAGGTCCAGTCATTGCCCAAGGACTCCCAGTTGGGATCGATTGCTAGGATTCAAACATAGGCGTCTACCCCCAGAATCCTACTGTTAGAATTAAAATGTACTGTCACGGAATAAGATATTTGGCTCACTTACATTTTAGATAATTCAGACATACTAAATAGTTACTCAAACAATAGTTTTAAAAATGCTCCCCCTTAAAAAATTAACTAGCCTAAGATACTTTTAAAAAATCTTACTTTTTACAATATTAAACTAGGGGAAAAAAATACCTAAAATTTCTCACGATCAGCTATTAACTATTTTGCATGAGTGGTGAGTATAGCAATCCCCGTCACTCTAATATTAAAAGCCATCTTTCCCAAAAGAGCACAAATTCAAGCGATGTCATTCCCAAAAATCTCATTCCAATAGAAACAAACTCCTTCGCATTCACCTTTTTTTTGAGTTCGGAACATCTCCAACTGTTTCTGTTGCTGTCGCCTTAACGTGTTAACAATAGCTATTGCCAGTCTCAGTGCTTCTCTGGGGTACCCATGAGAACGCAGCGCATCCACTCTCGCACACGCTGTAGGAACATGTTCTGAAACACAAAGTTAAGGGAGGAAAGTTGCCACTGCCAAATATATCCATAAAAACGAGATTTAATAATAATATGTTTTCCCCCAAAATACTATTAAAAAGACACAAGAAACCATTTCTGAACTTGGATTTGAATGAAAAACTCAGCTCCTATTGCCAAGCATTCATTCATCTCCCATTGAAGCCCCCTCAGCTCTCCTCCTCCCACTCCAATAATGCTATAGAAACTAAACAAAGAAGTAAGTCATGGAAATGTCTTTCCGGTTTGGGCACTTACCATGCCAGAGGGGCCACCCACGGGAGTCAAAGAGGGAGTTTTCAGTGTCGTCATGGTAACAGTAGTTGGTGTATAGGTCACTGCTGATAATGTGCTGCAAGTGGCTATCCTGCCAGTGGAGATCGCATGCCTCGATGGCTCGGGTGAACACTGTCCGATGTGGCCTGTTCGACGAATCTGTTTTTTCCACAATTCAGAAAGCCGTGTCAGCTATTATTCACATGTGAATAAATCAGTCATACCACTCTGTGGCCAGATGTTCATGAGCAAACCCACACACATTGTCCTCACCCCCTAAGCAGAAGGATGGACGGTGAATATTCTCATGTCCTAAGTACTAGGAGGAAAGTCAGCCCAAAGAGCCACCATTCACTCACTTGTTTTATCCAACACAAACACTCTGCAGCCATCAAGCTAAGGTTAAAGGCATCCTGCAAAAAGAACTGTCAAGTCTAGTTTCCATGCCAAATACACTCAAAAGAGGCACTCGGCACAAAAACCACATGAAGACTCACTGCTCCCCACTTCTGAGGTGCTGTGGTGGGCTGCCCTGATGGGATCCACAGCTCTCACAAACACTATGCAAGAGATGTGACACCAGCCATGGAACCTTTCAGGAAGATGCAATCAGCCTTTAAAGATATGCATAAGGGTTGTGCTTTTGGTTGTATTTTTTAACTATATTGTGCGGTTTTGCACAATTAAAACTATTATGCTTCTTGGGATATAATGATAAAATGACACTTTATATCCCAAAGGGCATAATTGCATATATTTAACAGTTCACAAAGCCACACAACATAGCTACAAAACAAACCAGCGCACTTACCTTGCCCCTACAGGCTGCCTCCTGACTCCTGTGCAGGTTCCATGACTGGTGTGATGTCCCCAGCATAGTGCATGCTGGGCATCACAAGAGAGCAGTGTATGACACTCCGAAGAGGGTTCAAGTTTCAGGACCTGACGGAGAAAAGAAATGTTTGGGGAATAAAGGATATTCTCACCCCAGCTCCTGGGAATATTCAGTTCCTCTGGATAACACGGTTCAAATTCTACCTGCACTCCCACCCTGTGTCCCCACTCCAACTTACCTTCAACTATGGCACAAACCTTAGTGAGCCTTGACTGCACACCAGGGGAACAAGCTACTTTATTTATGTTTACTTTACTTAGCTCAAGCATCACCCTCACTGTTCTGAGGCTTAATTAAATGAGAAACAATATCTGGAGCTTCCTTAGCTGATAATGTTTCATCTTCCTGTCACTGGAGCTTTGGCTAAGTACAGACATAAAGGAAATCATAAAAATCAAAGAAGAGCAGAATCAAGAAGAGCTCCAAGAACTCATCTAGTCTAACTCCTTTATTCTGCTAACAGAACTGAAAATGGAGAGAAGGAAAGTGACTTGCCAAGGTCACGGTGCTGGGCAATAGCAATCAGGATTAAAACACAGATATCCTCACTCCAAATGCACCTATTTTAGCTGTGGTGAATGGCTTCTGAGAGGCCTTTAACAGAGAAAGACACTACTTCAGCTTGGTCTCAGGTCAACTTAGATATCTGTATTTACATAGCAGACACATCAAAATGCACAAATGACATAATTTGAGAGGCATAAATACTGATGCATGTGTTATGGCCCTTGCCCAGGCTTCTTGCCAGCAGTAGTTTTAGTTGTACACCTTACAAATGGGAAGAGAGGGCCTTATATTTAAGGGCCTTTTGAACCTATCAGGGTTTTTGCTGAGCAGAACAAATATACTCCTACCCAATAAGGAACTGGTTCCATTACCTCTAATAGTCAATCGATCAAATATTCCAAAGCTCAAAACTTACACTTTTTAAGGGGCTTTGTCATTTCATTTATTTTGTTAGGCTCAAATCAAAGAAATAGAATTTAAAACTAAAAGGTGATATTAAAAGAGCAACTTAATGTTATGAGTGTATTGAAAGAATTAGAGTTCTACCTGTCAATTTGGCTCACTGTGGTATCAATAATACAAGCAAGCTATAGAGTAGGATTCCATTAGAAAAAAATAAAAACCTTAACTTTTCATGTGATCAAACTAACTGAGCATAGAGAAACATATAGTGCACACACCAGGCTTTTAACAGCTGTTAGTCTAAGAGAATAAAACCAATTGTAACAAAAAAGGCTAAAGATTAATAATATTTAAATGAAAATGTAAGACAGAAAGCTCAATAATAATATGGGAAACACAAAAAATTGATAATATATGCAGACAATGACAAAAAAACCACACCTGTCCATGGGAAGATGGAAATCATGGCAGTGAATTACCCAACTTAACCAATGCTCTGCCTCAGGATATAAAATTATGGTCAATTTTTATCTTAGATGTCCGTGGTTTTCTGATTTTTACAATTAAGATGGAAAAAAGAAAAGCAGGTAACCAAATTTTTAGTGAAGTGTATGAATATTGATACATACTGATTAAAGAAAACGTGGGAAATTCAGAAAGGTAAAAAGGGAGAAATTAGTTCTTTTATAAAAAAAAATTGGCTATCACTGTGGTACATTTTAAAAAGTCAAAGAAATTACTCTTTCAAAGAGTGTGGATTCTAATATTGTTATTGCTGTTGTTAATTAATTCTAACAATTAATCTCAGCAAAGACAGGACCCGGTCTGCCCTCCACATTCACTGCAGTATGCCAACATATGCAGCCCCGCCCACTGTCTGTACCAAGTGTACACTCCACAGCCAGCTGCAATGGCACTGCTGGGCTCTGCTGGCCGTGCAGGCTCTCCCGAGCAGCCTGCTCAGTTCCCTTCTGACAGCCCCTCTGGAGGATGTGAGTATTATGATAAAAGCAGGAGCTCTGGTGCCTTTAGGCACAACAGCTATAAATACTGCCCTCAGAAACTAGGTCTTGACTTCATACCCCTAGGCCAAACCATAAATAAAATGAACTGTTTCATCTGGAGGCTGGACCACTGTTTAAGGGCGTACTAAAGCCAATGGAATATTCCTATTTAACCAAGGGGAAAGTAACCAAACAGAAAGGAAAAGTAAAGTGTAAAATGTGAGGATGGTGCTCCCAAAAAGCAGGTAGGGAGCAAAACACAGAGAAACCCCCAAATATGAAAAATCAAAGATTAAAGATACTGCCTACGTAGATGTAGGCATACCCTTTCCTAGCAAGGGAAGGGAATAAATGTTGAATTGCTAAACTTGAAAATTCTGAGCTTCTGGAAAAGAATTTGGGGTATAAGGGGTACATTTATTTTCTTCATTTATTAAATAATATCATAAGCAATAAAGATATGACAGATTTCAAAAACTGAATTCCCAAGGCAAATATCTCTAGACAAAGAAGAGCCAGCCAATCATCTTTATGAAGTCCCAAAACTTCAATCTTTTTCATTGGACAAATCCCTATGGAGTAATACATGTAATCTCTTTCTTTATAGAGACTGAGAACACTATAGTAACTCACAATCACACTCAGAACACTGTCCAGCTCTTTCCAGGAGCACCAACTCCATATGGGTTCAGCACATACAGAATGACAGTCTTGATTCTGGATCTTTCTGATGCCATTTTAACTCTCACCTTGCATCTAATACAACTTTAAAGTCAAGTTTTCTCAAAAACGAAAAAGGGCAGCAACAGCACAAAATCACACAAAAACAGGGACATGAATTAGGGCATGAAGTTTTATTTGCAGGCATTAACTACTTTAAGGATTTGGTTCTGAAAAAGACGAGAAAATGCTGTGGAGGGGGGTGAGGCCAAGGAAAAATTTAAAAAAAAAAAAAAAAAAAAAAGAGGGACTTGAACTAAATGGGTGGAACCAATAGAGAGAGAAGCTGGAAAAAAAGACACACAGAATGGAAATGAGAGGCAGAAGTTCTTCAGAGGACATTTGAAAATGTTTGTGTGCATTTCTTAGTTGTCCCAAAGTGGAGGGCACCTATTAGCCTACAGTAGGTAGAAATAAGTATGCTAGACAATCCTTCACAATAAAGTATTTTCCTAGTCCTAATGCCAATAGCACCCGTGCCCTTCCAGCCCCATCATAAAATGCTTACTTGGAACATTCTAAAACTAAGAAGTTTTAATTGATTAAATGACACAGGAGCCCAAATATGAATTGATCAAGAGATAAAAACACAGCTGCTCAAGCTTCTCAATATTACCAACCTATACCATGGTTTATTAAATTTAAAATATTCAAATTAAATAGTTAATAAGCAATTTTATATTAATTTTATATAATTGTAACTAACCCCTACTAATATCTATAAGGATTATATCCATCTGTATTCTGAGAATATGAAGAAAAGCACACAATGGTCTCAGGTAAAAATTAAAATACATATTCAGAGTCAAAACATTAAAATCCTCGAGTTATGGTAAGTTCTTAAGTGGGGAAATTATTTTCCCACATATATTGTAAGTTACTGTTATAAATGTATGTGCACAATCAGGTAGATACCAAGTGAGCAGAATATTACCGTGGACTCACCTTGGTTGGCGTTTGCACCCTGAGGCAGAGCGTTAGTTAAGTTGGGTAATTCACTGCCATGGTTTCCATCTTCCCATGGACAGACATCAACACTGTTCCACTTTTTCAGTTGTTTTAGCCAACTGGCCTTCTGCTCCAGCTTACAGTGGGGATTTAAAACTATACACATCCACAGAGCACCTAATTTAAAAAGAAAGGGGAAAGTAAATTTAAAAAATTATCAAAATATCCAATTCTAACAGCTAATGATAAATTTTAAACCATTTCAAAATGGATCCAAATCTGTCATTTTTATAACACAATTCTTTTTCATTCAAGCCACAAATCTCATGTAGAGTTAATGGAAGGAAAACAGGGTCTGAATTTGAACCAAAGATCCAAACACTCTGTTACAAATAAAGATGAAAGATATTTCAAATGTTTATTAATTACCTTCCTACTTGTGTGACATTTTGGATAAAAAGTCAATAAAAAATACAACCCTTAGGTCCAATTTGCCACTTTAATTAACACACAGATTTTATATACGGATTCTGCAACAAACCACTTTAAATAATTCTTTTGTGCAAAAATGAAATTTCCTTCTAAGATTACCATTATACAATAAAATTATAAAGGCACAAGATGAACACAAATAAACAACTTTCTTAGTTTCCTTACAGGCATTTCAAACTTTATTATATTTATTAATTAGTATGCATATCTATTATACCAATAATCTTTTAAAAATAAAATTTACTTAAACACACTTCCCTAAATGATTTAACCAGGAACAAATCTTTATATAAATGAAATCACTAAATTTATGCCTTTATGTGAATGAAATGACTAAACAAAAATTAAAATTTTACTTGTTTTTCAAAGTAAAAGCCAAAATAAATTTAGAAGACATAACTCATAATTTGTATTAATCCTTTCTACATTCTTCAGAAAAGAGGTAGCTAACTCAAGCAGATATTTCACAAGTTTTAAAAGTTCACGTTTTTCTTTACTAATTTCAAAACAAGATAGATACCAATACCTCAAAGCCATTCACAACACTTTTTCTTTAAAAAGGTATGTGTATGTCTGTGCGTATTTTAATCAGTTGTGTTACATGAATAATAAAGATAGGAATGATCATTATGTTTATTTTATTCAAAAGAGATGCTTTATATTCTTCCACATTTAATATTAGCAAGCTTCTTCGACTAGGAAATCTGATATTTTAATTATCAAATAACTTTTACCACCAGAAAATAAAAGTGGCCACAATCTATCTAAGCCACAGATATTTACAATTAACATTTCTATATTTTTAAATGCCAACTGAAAAACAAAATGTGATCAAACTAGGGTAAGCCCACTATAGTTTATCTCTCCTCATGATTATAAACAAAAATTCGGAGCAAAATACAAAAAGCAGCAATCTGAGAACTCTGAAAAGTAAACAACAGCAAGCAGATTAGAGAAACAAACCATGAAGAAACAAGCCATATGGGGGCGATTTACTGTTATTTTTTTCCTCTTTTCTCTCCTGGCTTGCACATAAGAGTAGCCCCATTAGAGGAACTTTGTAGAGGGCATATTCAGCAATAACTTGAGAGAAATCTCATCTACCTGGTGAGAGAACTAGGAAAAGGGAACCCTGCCCTCCACTCAGGAGCTGGAGCAAGGGGATCCTGTGTACTGTGTACAAAGAAGCATAAGTCCTGGTAACATCTCATGTGCATGAAACAGACTCCAGGAAGCACAGCCAAGGCCTTGAAGACTTTACTAACACTATCACCCAAAGAAGGTGAAAGAGACAAATGTTCTGAATCTACCCTGGTTGATTGTATGCTTTAAAAAAACCCCACAGTTATCCAGAGGATTTTAATAGGACCCAGACTCTCATAACAATATTCAAAATGTCCAGGATCCAAAATTACTTGGCTTACAAAGAAACAGGAAAATGTGATCAATTCTCAAGGGAAAAAACAATCAACAGATGCCAACCAAGAAGAACCAGATGTTAGAATTATCAGTCAGAGACTTTATAGCAACTATTACAACTGTACTCCATGAAATGAAGGTAAACACTATTGAAAGAAGGGAAATAAAAACTATAAAAACAAACTAAATAGAAATTTTAGAACTGAAAAAAAATCTGAAAAAAAAAAAAAAAAAAAATCACTGTAGGGGATCAAGAGCAGAATGGACAGAAGGAAAAGTCAGTGAACTTGAAGACAGAAATAATGTCGACTGAAGAACAGAGAGAAAAAGTCTGAAAATGAACAGAGCCTTAAAGACAAGTGGAAAAATAATAAAAGGTCTAACATTTGTGTCACTGGAGTCCCAGAAGAAGAGACATAAATACAGAAAACTTTGGAAAAATAATGACTCAAAACTTTCCAAATTTGGAGAAAGATATGAATTTACAGATCCAAGAAGTTCAGCTAACCACAAAAAGGGTAAACTCAAGGAAAACCATGACCAAATATATCATAATAAAATCACCACAAACCAAAGATTAAAAAACCTAAAAGCAGAGACAAATGATATACCATATATAGAAAAAGACTCAAATAATAAGAGATTTCTCATCAGAAACCACAAAGGGTAGCAGTGTGGTTCAGCTTGTTGGGCACCATCCCACGCATCAAGAGGTTGATGGTTTGATTTCCAGTCAGGGCACATGCCCAGGTTCTGGGCTCGATCCCCAGTGGGGTGCAAGAGGCAATCAATTAATGGTTCTCTCTCATTGATGCTTCTTTCCCTCTCCCTTTCTGTATCTCTCTAAAATCAATAAAACATATTATTTTTTACTTTATTTTTTTATAACATTGTATTAAATTTATTGGGGTGACAATGGTTAACATGAACATATAGATTTCAGGTGTGGGTTTCTATGTTACAAGATCTGTATATTGCTCTATGTGCCCACCATAAAAACGTATTTTAAAAAAAGAAATCATAAAGGGCAAAAGACAGTGGAACATTATCTTTAAAGTGTTAAAAGAAACTGAAGTGCCAGCCCACAATTCTATATCCAGCAAAAATATCCTTTAGAAATGTTAAAATAAAGGCATTCTCTGATCAGGGAAAACTAACAGCATTCGTTGCCAAGAGACCTGGTATAGAAGAAAGCTAAAGGAAATTTCTTCAGGCTGAACAGAAATAATACCAGAGGGAAACTTGGAACTACAGGAATAAAGAACTATAGAAATAATAAATACCTGAATAAATGTAACAGACTATTTTTGTCCTTTTAAGTTCTTTAAAATAAGTATGACTATTGAAATTAAAAATTTGAACATTGGCTTGTGGCATTTTAAATGTATGTAACATTAAGGAGGGAGAGTAAAGGGACCTAAAAGGCCGTTAAGACTCTACATTCTATTAAAGTGACAAAATATTAACACAAAGTAGACTGTTTAAGGTTAGATATGTTTATTGTAATACTGAAAACGTTAAAAAATACAAGGAGATACAAATAAAAAGACAAATAAATTACAATAAAATACTAAAAAAAATAATTCAAAGAAGGAAAAGGCAGGAGAAAGAGAATAGAGGATTTAAAACAGAGAAAACAAACAGAAAATAAATGATTAGATGGTAGACCTAAAAAACTCAACCATATCAGTGATTCTATTAAATATAAATGGTCTAAACATACCAATTAAGAAATGGTAAATAAGATTTAAAAACAAGATCTAACTGTATGCTGTGTATAGGAAATACACTTTAAATACAATGGCATAGATTAAAGGGGGGAAAATGAAAAAAGATATACCATGCAAACACTTTGAAAATATTGCTTGAATGGCCATATTAGTATCAGACAAAGTAGACATCATAACAAGAAATACTACACCAGGGATAAAGTGAGACATAACATAATAAAAGGATCAGTTTTCCAAAAAGACGTAAGAATCCTAAAAGACAATGCTTCACCTAATGTCAAGACTTCAAAATACATGAAGCAAAAACTGACATTTGAAAAGAAAAATAGACAAATCCACAATTATATTTGGAGAGTTGAGTACTCCTCTCTCAATAACTGACAGAACAAGTAGGTAGAACATTAGCAAGGATGAAGAATACCTAAACACCGCCATAAACCAACTTAACCAAAATAACGTTTGTAGAACACTCTACCTGACATTAGTAGAAAACAAAACAAAATAAAAATTCTACTCTCTTAAAAATGCACAAAGAACAATCACTAAGATAGTCCATATTCTGGGCCATAAAGCAAAACTTTGACAAATCTGAAAGAAGTGAAATCATTCAAAGTGACAAGAAGATATCTGAAAAATTCCCAAATATCTGGGGGTTAAACAACAAACAGTAGTGCATTCATATAACAGAATACTACTTAGCAATAAAAAATTAATATTACAAATAATGTGATATAGATTTATTTTCAATGTGTCCACTTCATAATTCAGAATTTTGTATTTCAGTCCCTACCTGTATGAACTATAATTTATTTTGAAAATTAGCTTAAAAGCACCACCATGACAACTAAAAGCTAAGCTAGTTGGCAAAGAGCTAATTAAAAGTAGAAATTACATACCCTAAAATATGTATCTCAAATCCATTGTTTTTACATTTAATTTCTTCTTTTTAAAGATGCAAATGCAATACAAGTTTTTAAAAACAGGATAACCAAATTTATACTAAGCACTAGCTCTTTTGAAGTAACTCAAAAGATAAAATTAGGAAAATATTAATCAATATATGTAGTGCTATGGACTGATCACAGGAAGGAACTGACAGTGTGACAATGAATTGAGTTTCACCACTACCAGGAAAAAATTCAAGCGTCTGTAAGAAGGTTAAACTACTGACAATATAATATAATTCTACTTTTTAAAAAAGTTATTTTGAAGAAGTAAACACTAAGAAAACCTTAATTAAATAATCATTATCACTAATAGTCACTATTTCTTGGGTGCCTACTATATGCTACAGGCATATTTAGGGTTTTACAAACATCTCATTAACTCATCACAATAATCCTCCATGGTCAGAATAAATATTTCTACTTTAAAGATGAGAAAACTAAATCTCAGATTATGGTCCTTAAAAGCAAGATCCTTAATATTATAGTAAACTTTAAACAATGGTTTCTATGACTTGACAAAAGAAGAAGTTTTTTCCCTCAAACTCACCTTAGATTTTCATGTTTACATTCCTCTAATTAGAAATTTTCC